AGGAATGCATTGAAAACATAGCTCTAATGCCATTCCTTGCAAGAGATTCCAACTGATTTTTCCTGGCACAAACACACTACTACCATGGCATAAACCAAAGCAATCACTGTAATCTGAAGCATTTGATAGCTTGGAAAATTTCAGTCCTCAAAATAGTAAAGCAATAAACTTGCAGCGTATTGTTTCATAGTGATCATTTGATTCATTGGTTTAAAGAAATTAAAAGCTAAAAGAGCAATTAATAAATAAAATGTTTTTCAACAGATATGAATCTGAAGTTATTCCAAAAACTTCCACATAGTTACAACATTATAAAAGCAGAACAAGAATAAGCTTCTAGAATACGGAAATCAATATAAATGTGCATATATAGAGAGTATTCACTATTCACAGCTGTGATTCTGCTTTTTGGATGTGGTTTTATCACACAGGGAGTATAAATTGGCTTTTAAAAGTGTAACAAACTAAGAGTAAAGACAGGTGAGTTCAATAAAATCATTGCATTCACATATCTTTTTGTACTTTGGTACAAAAGACAAGAGTGGATAGATGGAGAAGTCAGGAGTTTGCATGCGTCCATCCCTCAGGTTTCCCTGAATATTTTGATCGTGATTTACATGGCAAAGTCAATAAAAGACAGTGAGAAAACTTGAAACCCAGCACAGAGCCCAGGCCACACAGCCCTGCTCAGCAGCTCTCACTCATGCCAACAGGAGAGCTCATTAGCAGGAAATCCCACACCTGAACAACACTAAGGGGATGGTGATTAGGACAATTTCTTGTGCCCTCTTTCAACTAGTTACAAGTTTATTATTTAGGGTATCACTTGCTGACACCATCTAAAAATTGTATGATGCGGCTACGTCTTTTAGTTAAGCAATAGTAAATTCAGGTCACTGAGAAAGGAATTAAACCAGAAACCCAGCGGTTACTCGAGAAGTGGACAAAATACTCCACAGATTTTGAAGCAGAGCAGGTCATTCCATTGCAGAGCTGATTCAAAGCTCATGGAGGTCAGTGCCAAACTGCAGACAAAGGTGCTCAACGTCTGAAGACACAAAACTTTCTCCAGGCCCGTTCAGCGCAAGGCCCAAACTCCATCCGACCACAAGCACTTCCAGACGATCCCTCTCCGCCCCAGCGTGAGCTCTTCCTTGGATTTGTCTGCCCTGTGCATGCTTTCCACTTAAAAACATGAGAAGAAACCCAGATACCTCGGACATTTCCAAAACACTCCACATGGCTCCCTCAGTGATTGCTCTATAGAGAGCACGAAAAACAAAACAATTCTGCCATGGCCAAAAGTGGGGGCTTAAACCATTTTGGGGATAATTGAGCCCCCGCAATGACCCCGCAGTAGACAGAGCAAAAGAACTTGTCATTTGGATCATGTTTTTAAAGCATGAGATATTTCAGGAACAAGGGCAGCAGCAGCATGAATGTTTTGAAACACACAGAGCACGCATGAAATTGTTGCAAAATAAATTGTTTCACGTTAGGGGTAGGTGCAGTTGTACTTTCAAGTGTTACACTGTTGGAACACGAGCATCTCATTAGGGGACACAAGAATATATTTACGATTCTTATTTGTGCATGAATCAGTAACCCCAAACGGCTGCGGTTTGCTGAGAGAAAAGAGCAGTATCACACTCAAACTGTGCAAGAGCCAGGGCATCAGGCTCCACAAATCCCACACTGGAAACTCGCTGAACTTGGCAAAGGGGAAAAAATATCACTTAAGAAACAGTAATAAAATAATGTGATAATTAAATGAATAGTGCTATAAAGAGAACCAATCTGCTTCGCTGATCCACGAGCGTGCTGCTGGTGCCTTTGGGATTTTTTTTTTCCCTTCTCTTTTCCTTCTGGAATCATGCGAAAGAATTTTCCCTCCACCTTCCCAAAAAGGAAGCAGTCCCTGGCCACAAGCTTTTGTGCTGCTGAGGCCACTGAACGGGGCAGCCGTGGGTCAGAAGAATGACTTCCACGCTGCCTGGCCAGAACCAGGTATTAAAAAGGGCTTCTTGACTTACAAGCAAGAAAAACAGGGGAAAGAACAATCTCCAGATGAAAACTTTACTAGAAGCACAAGATATTGATTATCTAGAAAATATGTAAACTAATTAGCAATGTCTTAGCCACCAGATTAGAACTGCCCACAAAGCAGGCATCATGTTATTATTTTTCCTCATTTCTAACTCACACCAAAACCCACCTATTCCATATAAAACCGAACTAACTCAAGGAAAGAGGAGAGTGACACAGGCACCGTTTCTGTTCCAGTTGCTGACTGACAACACTGCCATCCCTCAACATGGTTTTATTTAGTTATTACAACCATCTCTCTGTAAATGACACTTAGGATTATTTAAGATTATGTTGTAATCCTTTTAATCCTCAGTGCTTTAAATTTCAGGCTAAACACCAAAGAGCAAACTAGCACTTAGCAGAAATATTTAAAGCATGTGATTTGAACATAAATCTTCTTTTATTCACCCGTCCTCCGATGAAGACCTAGCGCATCATGTCACTTAGCCAGGGAGAGCAAACAGAGCCGGAGCAAACGCAGCAAATGGCTCCGTTTCCCACATTGTGGGAAGCTGTTGCAAACTAGTTCTTTTCCTCAGCGCTAGCAATATCATAAAGTAAATGAAGGAAAACCAGACAGTTGTATTTGGTAAAATGTATATAGTTTAAGGTAGTGTTAAAGAAAACATGGAAAAAAAAATGTTCAAGAAGGACTGAAATAGGTTGCATGCACAAATTGGATATAATGTGAGACAGATCAGACTTATCCTGTTAAACAGAGAGTCGCTCAATTAAAATGAATGGAGTCACACTGCTGAAAACCTCATGATCAAGCCCAGAAACCCAAATCTTCCTGCCTGAATAGCATTTACTTGCAGTTTCCTCTCTTTATTCCCTGCATCGATCATGTTTCCAATTAATTTACTTTGTGATACTCCCATACTCCATCTTCTTGTTATGATCCGTTAACTGTCACATGCCTAGCTTTCAAACTCAAGATTTCCTGCTTTTTCTTCAAACCAAAATCTCAGTAGCCATTTTCTATTTCTAATCTATAATGCATGAACTCAAATTGAGCACCTAGGCTAAATCAAACTCAAAATTCTGCATCTAGTTCTGGCACTGCACATTAGCAGAACGGATGCATTCCTCCATTTGAATCAGAAAGAATGTTCTACTAGTTAGAAACTAATGACACAAAACGCACCAACCATGCCTTGCAGTCACGCTTTGAAGACATGAACAGGATCCCAGAACGGTTGAGGATGGAAGGGACCTCCAGAGACCATCCAGTCCAACCCCTGCTCCAGCTGCGACACCCAGGGTAGGGGCACAGGGCCGCATCCAGGTGGGTTTGGAAGACCTC